TCATATCAGATCCATACACTTTAAGGGTACAGATCACCATCACTCCAAAATACAACCACGTCCTCCCTGTTGCACATTCAGCAGTGTCACATGATTCAAAAAGTCAGCTTTGACAACCCTGTGATTCTTGTCCTCCTGTGCCTGTGAAATAAAAAGTCACAAAACCAGGCAAATTTACAGTCATATTTATATATCGGTCTCAGTCATGTCGCTCTCATCACTGTATATTTTATTATGTTAATTTAAATTAGAAATTTTGCAGCGCTTTGAGAGTTAATGTTGTTCAGAATGGCTTGTTTTGGGTAGAAATTCCTAGTACACAAAGCTGAAGAGAAGAAGAAGACAAACTTGGACAGAAGAGAAAGGACATTCAGTCTTCAGCTCAGGCCAAACTTTGCAGGACCTGCCAGACAGCTCATTTAAATAATGGCAGTAATCGTGTCTGTTTTTACAGTGTGCAGTTAGTTTTTACATTAGGACAAAAAGCAACTTCAAAAATTGTATATGCAGTTTAAAGATTAGACAACTTTTTATTTGCACGGACCTGCCTGCACAGACACAGATGCATTAAGAGGTCAGATTTTGGTTCCAATAAAAGTGTATATATAGTTATTGTGATCCAAAGACATGTCCTTCATGACTATACAGAGGACTAGAGTGTCCTCAAACTTTGTCGCAGTTGTAGTGAAAGCTGAAGGCTGTGTTTGATCAGTTGTGCTTATTACTGGAAATATAGGTTGATTACAGCAATGCTGTTAATGAAATTTGTTAACCCTGATTAATTTAAACATAAAGGCTGCTGAAAAACACGAGTGTCTTCTTGTGTGTGTTCGTGGTTGTCCTTGTGTGGAGGAGTGCATAAGTAGAAGTTTTCCAGAACAGTGTCCTTCAGGACAAATTGAAGCCTTGTGAGAAATACTTTGTGTAAAATGGGCCATGCAGGATTTTTGCCAATATAAATGAATTTATTATTGAGCATATTTGATCATTATTCATATTAACCTTTCAATAACGCTGCTTTAACCTGCCTTTTTGTGCTATATCTTGTGATTATTTGTGATGGACATAATGAGCCAAATGCTTTGTCCTATTAAAATTAAGGCTCTCAATTCAGTTCAATCATCGCAGTATAACACAAAGTCAGGTAAGTTTCAGGCATATTGTAGGGAACATAGACTGCTGTAAATCAGTTTCATCCATTTTGGTGCAAATCAACATGATAACACATGCAGTGCTTCCTCTCCTTTGCTGTGATTTTTCAGTAGCGTTCTTGTCAATACTGGCAGCATAAAACAGTACCTGAAGCACATTCCTTTTGCACAGGTAGCCCAGCTCCTCAAGGATGGCATACCTGTTTATACTGTCTAAAAAATGTTTCCTGTATCTCCCAACTATCACCATCAAAAGTGTGGAAGAGCATCAATCCAGCAGCAGGATTAGTATCTGCTTCTTTGTATGAGAAAGAAACACTACCAGAGCTCTGGAAGTGTTTGTTCTGCTCTTTCAAATAGACTTCAAAAGGGCTACTCATGCATGTTTTTCTTATCAAACAGCCAGACACAGGCTCCATGAGGGTAGTGTGACGTAGTTTGTTAAACCATCTGAGAAAACAGTTCATATTAACCAGGTTTTGAAGTAAAAGTCTGGATATGATTTGTCACGAAATCCAAGACATGACAAATTTTATTTCTTGTGGAACATGAGCATCCAAAGATTTTTTTTCTTTTAGCTTTCAGTGTTCACTTAACTGTGTATTTGACATAAGAACAAGCTTTGTACAGATACAAAATCAATTTGAGATAAAAGAGGCCAATGGTTGAATTCACCCTGAGAGTTCCACTACATTATACAACAGTCACCATTTTAGAAAAGGTGCAATTCAGAGGTACACTTTCACTAATTCACACTCAAAATTTAAAATGTAAATAAAGTATATAACAACTTTATTCATAATGTTCTTTCTTCTGTAGTAAGAAAGAACTGAAAAACCACCTGTTTTTCGGGCCGAAAAACTGGTGGTGGCTCAACGTACCCATAGCCTTGTCTCACACATTTCTCCAGTACAGTATTTTAAGACGGGATTTTTTTTTCATAACTGTTTTTGGTATCAGCTCTCAAAAACACAAAGTGCACTTTAAATGCGACAGACCACTGTCTGCTGGACTGCTGAGACGACTAGAACAAGTGGGAAGAGGCTGAACCAGCACAAGACATAGATCCAAATATGCTGTCATAATGTCACCTGTGTTCATCAGAAAAAGTACTTTAATGTCACTCTGATCTGACGAAAACATTTCTCCCAGAAAAAAAAAAAAGAAGAGACACACCGAAGCGAGTCAGCAGCCCTCAGTCTGGTTTTCATCTTTCTGACATATTTTACCTGTCAGCTTGATAAAAGATGCAGAGCTTCTGTCCCCTTTTGCCCTCCCCTGTCCTCACACCTCATCTCTTACTGCTTCAGAGTGCCGTGTGTGTAGGATGGTGGTGGCAGAAAGCGGGTGAGTTGAAATAACGCTGCTGAACCTTCTGTGCTGTTTGCAGAGTATGTTAAGGGTTTCTATGGCAACTCACAGCCTTGAAAACCCACCATCTAAGTCCAGATGAAGTGATGATGCAGTGGTCTGTGTCTGCCAAGTGTGTAGCTCACCTCTTTGTGAACCAGTCTGCTTAGTGTGCTTGTTTCCAAGCGAGGGAATTAAGCAAATACATGATTTTGTTGTGCATAAGTTAAAATAAAATACCTCCAAACAGCTGTTGAGAAACCTGATTTACTCACCTGTAAAGGTGAGTGATGGGGCACTCTAAATATTTGATGCTGTGGCTATTTTCAGGAACATCTTGCATAACTGAAATTTTGAAAAAGCAATTTAAAAGACGCATGAAACAGTCTCTGAGTTGCATGTTGCATAAATGCTACTCTTCCTCTGGAAGTGAGTGGAACAAATTTTAAAGGGCAGCATTTGAGGATGCTTCATCTCATTCTCTACTTAAATCTCCTCCCTCTCATCCTCATGTTTAATTAATCGCTTTTATATTTTTAGATTTCCGGATGACAATGTAAATCTGTCATAAGTTTCGAGAGATTCAAGGTCCATGACTCACTGTTAGAAGAGCATAGTGCCTCTGTGAAATGACAGCAACGATAAACAAGATGTCAGAAAGCCTACTGTGAATCAGATGTGAGTAGAGCATGCCACTGATTTTCACACATTAAAGTCTTGCCAAAGAATGCTTTCAGCTTTTTTGTTAGAAGATTAATTATCTTGCATTTTATCTACTTCGTTTACTCTATTATACTAGTTTCTTTTTTAAATGTTTCTCCACAGAATTTCTGTATTGAGAGGTAGAGAAGAGAGAGAGATTAATTTCCTGGAAACAGGAAATGAATCTATATGTAAATGTTTTACATATAGTTCATATATATACACACACACATATATATATATATATATATATATATATACACACACACACACACACATATATGTAAAGGAAGGAGCCTCTGCTTCGAACAGGAATGTGGATATACTGTAATTGCATTTAAACATGTGAGATAACTACATTCAGCCTAAGACTCAGTTGACTTCAAATGCCATGGGTCCACTTACCATATACAATTAGTACAAGAGGACCTCCTTAATAGAGAAGAAGCTGATCATTAGGGTCCTTTCAGGGCTCATGTGATGTGCAGCTTTTCAGGTGACAGCATTTAAACAGTCTTTTCATTAGAATTTGCATCAAACTGTTATTTTACTGATGCAAGTGTAAATATTTATCTTGAATTATTATTTTTTAGTTAAATTGGCTCTTTTGTCAATCTAAATGGACCCTCTGCTGATTTGACAGTCATTAAATCCATGACTGTTTGTTGTTTCACTTATGAAATGAATGAGAGTTTAGTGAACATGAGTTAACCAATTTGCAATGAAGATGAGGAAACTCACAGGAGGAACACGGTGGCCTGTTGGGGAAAGAAACTCAGACACCTACTTATATGAATTGGCATGTTTTTTAAATGAATAATAATGATAACACACACACTCTGACACAAAAATGCAATGAGTTTGTGCATAAATCTGGTTTTCTATTTCACTTACATAGACATTATGGCTATGTAAGAAATGAAGTTTTGTGATACCGTCTTCCTGGATATTTTAGCCTGGAGGAATCAAAGTACAAGTTACTGTGATTTCAAACCCAGATTATGACAAAGTTCCACTGACCATTATTATTTTTAGACCAACATGTTTCATCCTTGAAAGTTTTACGCACATATACATTTCTGAAAATATCTACATGCATGCTTATACCAACAATTTTGCACTTTGCACTTTTGTCTTTTTGACTTTTTACATTTTTTGTCAAACTTTTATGGAGTTAAAAAAAAGTGGAAGATGTTTTCAATCCTTTGCATAATTCTATTTTATGAATCTTAGGGTGGTTTGACAAGCATTAGATGCATTATCTCTCTATATGTTAAGGTTTTTGTTTTTAGCCTAATGTACTAAAGCATGTGACTCGAAAATATTTCTGGAGCAGCACTCGTTTCTGTTTTGCAAATTAATAACTAACTTGAATTTATATTCATGTTGGGCTAAAGAAAACTGTCTTAGTGTGCATCTACCCTTAACTAACAACCACTTGGGTGGAAACTTTGACTCTGACTGCTTCCAGTTTAACTGGATGCCAGTCCAGGAATACCCTTAAAGGCTCTTAGATGTAAAACTATTAGGGATTTAAGCATAGTCTACTTTCCATTTAAATGAAGTACTATTTTAAACCTAAGGTGGTTAAGTGGTTAATTCCCTTCTTAAAATATCTCTATGTGTGTTAGATGTATAGATCTCTATAGCTTAGGTTTGCAGTGATTACAAACTAGTCCTGGTTATGAGTTACCAGGTACACAACTTGCCACACCTTCACACAAAGTGACCTTACAAGCATGCCTGGTCATGTTTGTAAAGCACCTATCAAACTGCAAGCACATTTTCAAGTGTGTTTCAAAGTTTTATTATAATAAATATACTTGATCGTATGTACATTTTCTGAAACAGCAGTATATACAAACCTTCTATTCATGTTGCAATGTACATTCAACACTGTGCAAGAAAACCCTGAAAAGGAACATGAGCAGGCTTACAGTGAATGGGTGCGTTATTAAAAGACTGTGAACATGTCTTCGGTCCCAAGGCTCTCATCAAGCACATTGTGATTTGATGCAGTAAAGTAAGATGCAGGCCTATTGCAATCTGGCTATACAGATTATTATGACGCATTAAAACGGTGCTGAAAGGAGTGTAGAAGAGTGCAGATTTGATAACATCCGACCAGTGTGGTTTGAGGAGCAGAGATTAACTGTGCTGGCTTCCACTATAGTTTCAATAAGACAACCGTTTTTTAGAGGCCCCCCTGTTTGTTTGAGCAGATTTAACTTTTCTGGATGCAAAGCATCAATCCACAGAACATTATGAGAATAGTTAACCGTAGGCTACATTTCTGCTTGAGCTTTTCCACTAATCCACTTGGATTACGTGTTGTTTATATCATCCTGATGGCTAGACTCTGTCACGTAATTTTATGACCTTTTTTCCCACCCTCTTCCAAAAATAAATGGTCCACTGGCCCTCCCCCCAAACATACTTTTTCTACCTCACTCACATTATTTTCACACTTTGGCTATATTGTTCTAGTACATTTTAGCTTATCTAGTGCAATTTCTCATCTCTGCCAAATACATTCACAAATCCAGGAAAGCTTAATAACTTCTCTGTATCCACATTATTTTTCAAGCCCAAAAAGACGCTCTTTCTCTTTCTTATGGGCCTGCAGAGTCTTACCGCTCCCTGGACAGCTTCACAGGATGTCCATCAGGGTGGGCTTTTGGTTAGACAGTTCACATATTGACGACCAAATAGCCTAGAACCAAGGCGACTATAACGATGACAAAGAATCCAATCACAGCGCAGATTGACGCAAAACCAGTCTCCCTGCTCCCTCCGCCACCTTCTTCTTCTTTCGGCTCTTCTTCGCAGATCGAGATGACACCCACTGAGGAATTCCCGACACTCATGTTGGACTTGAGCTCAGCGCCTGCCTCCTGCTTCGCCTCCACAGCCCACGGCGCCACCTGCACCTTCATCTCCATCTCTTCCATCATCTGGCTCACCTGGGTGATCTCGGCCTGTAGGTCTCTGAGGTCTGCCGTGTCGATATTGCTGTCCGCCTCGTACTTCATATTCTGCACGCTCATGGCCCGGGCCGCCACCGTAGTGGTGCTGCCGGTCATCCCTGTCTGGATGAGGTGTCTTGTGGGCACCTTGAGGGGGAAATCCTGTGCTATCTCTAAGGACCTTTTCATGTCCACCTCAAGAAGCTCCATGCAACTAGAGAACAGCACCCACAGGCGCTCGTACTCGGCCCGATCCTCTTTGCTGATGGTCTTATCTTTGAGCAAAGAAGTCAGTTTAGTCCTGTTGGCCACCGCCAGCTCCTGGGCCTTTTTGCGGGTCTTCTTCAGCTCCTCTCGCAGGTTTTGAGAGTCCGAAGTGCTCCCAAGAGCGATGACCAAATGCCTGTAGCAGGCGGTCACTTTGTTCAAAGCGTCCAGCATTGTTTTGCATTCCTCTTTCCCCATGACTGATAAAAAAAAAAATCTATATCCTTCTTAGAAAATATGAAATGATTAAAAACGGGGAGCTGCAAACAGCGCGCTTATTCGAACAATGCTTTAGCCACTGACCTCGGTTTAGTTTCCACGGGAGCTCACCAGCCGCTCTCCAAATCCACTCAACGCACTGGTGAGAGAAAATTCTTCTCTATCCATGCTCCTTCCTGTGCAAGTGGATACAGAGAGTGGCTTAGAAATTAATGCCCCCGTAGCCTAAAAGGCTTTAGATTACCTTTGTGTTTTCCCACACGAGATCATACGGCTCCGCAGCCCGTCTCCTGCAGGACGGATGCGAACGTGAAACAATCCAACCACCCTTTTATGAAATTGCGATCCCGATTCAGCCACAGGTGTTACAACATCCGCCTAACCGTTTGCGTAGAGAGCTCGGCGCCTTTTCTCTTCAGCAGCTTAAAATAAATGTTCAAAGAAAATGCGCTGCCGGACAAGTTAGGTTCGCCATTCAGCGTCCGCGAGGAGCAAAGCGAGCCATTGTTGTTTTGGTTTGTTTTATCTGCATGAGGAGCTGTCCACTTCAGCACCCGATCGATGATTTTTAAATACCAGTAAGCGCCTTCTGTAGTCACATGTGCACGCACAACAGTGCTATTCAGCGACAGGCAGAGGCAGGGAAGCAAAACAGCTTCACTCCCATTGGGTTTTTTTCCACACAGGCGTTTGGTTTACATTCTTCATGCTATTGGCTGCTCTCTCCGTGATGTGGGCAGAACTGCGATGTCTATCAGCAGGGAAGTCAAATCACAAACACGTTAACTCTCTGACAATACCATTATCATCAGGGTCCCTGCTTATAGTCGGCTGCACGAGGAAAAATAAAGACCGGTGAACCCAGAGAGGAATGTAAAATAAAAAAAAAAAAAAAAATTAGATTGTTATTTATATAATTTTTTACTTAAGTTAAACAATCTATACTTTTAGTATGAATTGTTTAAATGAATGGTTCTTTTCTTCCTCTTGGAACTATCCTCAGTCTGTTTCAGTGTTGCCTATTACTTCATCTTCACTGCTGGAGTCTAGGCTAAAGAGCTTTCACTGGTACTCTCTCTCGTTCCCACAGTTCCCTTTCAATGGCCATAAAATAATCAAACTCTGATGCCCTGCAGTATATATATGTGGCTTGTAGACTTCCTGTGTTAACAGAGACTATATTGCCATCAACATCAAAATGCACTGTAGTTTCAACTAAGCTGCAATAGGTAGCAGCACACTGTTAAAGCTACCCTAATCTGTAATGTATGCCTGCCATCACTATGTTAGGAACTCTCCAACTTCTTGGTAAAGCCAATAACTAATAATAATAACTAATCCCATGGCAACAACTCACTGCATTTAGATATGTAGACATGGTAAGGATGAATTGCTTTAGTTCAAACTAAGCCCCAGAGTGGAGAATAAAGGGTATTTAAGTGGTTTTAAATGTGGCATGATGTGTAGTGTCAGACAGGTTCCACTGAATATTTCAGAAACTGCTGATCTACTGAGATTTTCCCCACATCACATAATCATCTCTAGGGTTTACAGAAAATGACCCAAAAAAGAGAAATTATCCAATCAGTGACAGTTCTGTGGGTGAAAATGCATTCTTCTTACCAGAGGTCAGAGGTGAATGACCAGACGACTACAGGCTGATGGAAAGACAACAATAACTTAAATAACCACTTGTTACCACCAAGGTTTGCAGAAGAGTATCTTTGATGGATACAGCAGCAGACAGAGCACACGGGAGCTATTCATGTTAGCTAAGGACAAGGAAGCAAGGTTAGGTTAATTTAGCTTAATTTGTGTGGGCTCATCAAAACAGGAAAACAGAAAACTGGAAAAACATTGGCTGATCTGACGATTTGATTTCTGCTGCAACACTCAGAGATAGAGACAGAACTTAGGAATAAATAACACAAAAGCATGGATCCATCCTGCCTTGTGTAAGTGATTCAGGCTCTTGATGGTGGTGTAATGGTGTGTGAGATATTTGTGTGAGGCTGTTTAGTACAAGTTGAGCATTGTTTCAACGCCAACAACTTACCCGAGTATTTCTGCTGATGACCATGTCCATCCCTTAGTGATCACAGTGTACCAATCATCTAATGGTTGCTTCCAGCAAGATAACAAACCATGTAAAAAAGATCCAATCAAAGTTGTTTTATTTTATTTCATTTACATATATTTTACATGACAATGTGTTCAGTCTGTGGACCTCAGTCCATTAAATCACCTTTGGGATGCATCATGGATGTGCAGTTGACATCTGCAACAACTGTGTGGTGCTATCATATCAATATGAACCAAAATCTCTGACACCTTAATCTGTGGAACAAAGAATCAGAAAGTTCTGAAGGTAAAACTGGCTTCCAACCCAGGATTAGCAACATTTTTTCTGATAAAGACATCGGTGAGTGTAGAGTGTAGTGGAGGGTGATACATTTGAAAAGCTGCTAAAAAAACAAACAAACACTATTGACGATGCTGCACCACCTTTTCATCAGCATATCAAAAATGTATAATTTTGCAATACTAAAAATAACAGAATAAAAAATTACCATCTGGTTGACATGTATTGCACCATTGACCGTCATAGCTGAGAGTTGAAAAGAGATGGCATGAGTGCTAACGAAGAAGCTGTCTTTGTTTTGTAATGAGCTTGATCAGGTTCAATGAACACTGAAAACAAACCCAAAACAAACTGATGATACCCTGATACCAAAAGATCTTTCATAAACTGACTAAACCTTCAGTCATATGTTCCTATAAAAAGATAAAACACTTTGTTTCTCCTGGTGTGTTGTTCCATCTGATTTTACAGCTAAGCTGATGTGATTATGAGACACAGGTTTGCGGAAATAGTGTTCAGTTTTTCTCTCATGTGACTACTTGCCTTTTTTTTTTTTTCAGTTTTATAAGTGTGGTAAAAGTGGATAATTTGTGGGTTGTCACCACAGCTGCCTGCACACTGGGAGGAGGCCTGTTGTTGCACACAGTACTGGATGGATAATGTGTTGTTTAGTTGGCTCCTGCTGTGTTGAGAGATGAGAGGCACATAAGGCTGAGTGGTATTTGCCTGCTTTGCTCTTTTTGCATTATTCAAGCGGATGGGGCCTAATGATCCAGTGACTACAGTGCAAAGCTAATGGACTGGAGTGCAGTGAATGCCTGAGGAACTGAGTGAGAGGCTTATTGTTCATTTCACATAAAATGACATCTGCTGCGGCATGGGAATTGATTTCTTCTGTTCAATTTATTCCTAGTTTGAATCCATTTTTGCTCATATCACTCATTAAAAACATTATGCATGCCCGCCCCTCATATTTGATGCTTTATAAGGTAACTGTGTACTAACACCTGCAGATCACCATCCTAAGATTACAATATGTGGCTCTGCTGTGAACTGCCCTGTTTAATATATTTAAAGTGCTGGTAGCCATTTCAGCACTTTCTGACTAATAACAAATATCTTGGTTGAGTCAGATGATCTTGGCAAATGGATCGTCTTTCCTTTCATGAATATGTTTCCATGGCTACATCTCACCTCTTACTACTCTTTGGTTATTTTTCTCCAAGGTATTTCATTGCTGACATTGCTCTGAGATGTCATCTTTCACTTTGTGCATTTAAAGTTACAAATCCGTTGTTTTCTGTTGTTTATTTCATGTTCTCATGAAATTCCTTAAGGAGCTAACTTTTACATAGACTAAACAAATAACTCAGTTTCAATTTTCATTTCATGCGCTTTCATTAACTTATTTTGAGCTTGAATTTAAAGTGTAAACAAATAATAAAAAATATAGGAATTCATTCAAAGATTAAAGACCATATGAATTCCCAATAAACGTATAACTGGGCTAATGTAGATTTTATTACCTTTATAAATAACTGATGAAATGCTAAAGTAAGTCGGACTTGCAGGATTAGAAAATTGGCCATAGTCTCTGTCTTTCTCCTCTCCTATAAAAAGGTTGCTGATAAGCTGTTGTGTTAGATTCAAGTGATGAGTCAGACATGCAGTGGTCTGATTGCTCTCAGTGCCAACACATGATGGAAAACTCCATTTTTGATTTCCGCAGGATTTTTGTTTGCACAGGACAGTAAAAAATATGGAAGCTCTCCAGATATTACTGTTGTTTTTACACAGATTATCGAAGAGATAAAGAAATACCCCCAAATCTCTGTTTGTGTAACAAATGCATTATGAGTACATCATTAGATCATTTACACTGATATAGATCCCAAAGAAAAAGACACATATAGCAATTTTGTTTTGCCTGGAAGAGCTACAGTGATGCACTAAGTACACACCATGATTCAGTAGCTTATAGAACTACCTTTAGCACCAGTACACTGAGTTGCTTTCTGTGTAACTTTATCTCTCGGATCATTGTGGATGAGTTTTGACACACTCTTCTTTACAGTGTTGCTTCAGTACATTTATGCAGAGCTCTCTCAAGGTCCTGCCACAACATTTCATTCAGGTTGAAATCTAGACTTTGACTAGGCCATTAGAACATCTTGATTGTTTTCTTTTTCAGTCCCTCTGTTGTAGAGTTGATGTTTTGTTTGGGATAATTGCCGTGTTAGATGACCTAATTTTGAAAATGCTTTAGCTGTCAGAGAGATGACCACACATTTGACTCTGTAATACTTTGGTACACAAGGGACTTTGTGGTTGGCTCACTGACCGTGCCCAGGTCTTGTGGCTGCAAAATAAGCCCAACTCTACACCCCTGCACCACTGTGCTGACAGTTGGTATGAGGTGTTTGTGCTGACATGCTGTGTTTGGTTTTTGCCAAATGTGGCACTGTGCTTCATGGCCACAAATCTCCATTTTGATCTCATTCTTTCAAATGATGTTTGAATAGATGTATGAGTGTGTATTTGCCAGGGTACTTGGCAGGAAGGTTGTTCCAAGCTTCTTTTTAAAAAAAAAAAAAAAATTGCCATCTTTCCTTTTTGGATTCATGCTGCCTCTGGTGCTTCTGTCTCTTTATGTAGTCCAAATATCAATCTTTGATGTTGAGTTCAGGGTATTGTGGAGTCTTGTTCTTCTTGTGATTCTTATGTTGCTGCACAATGAATTTAAAAGAAAAGAAAGGTATTACTGCACTGAATAAGAATATAAACAGCTGAAAGCAAAAATGATATTTGCATTGGCTTTAAAGAGAGTCTCAACCTTGCAACTATCTTCATATTATATGCTTATGTTATATACCTAAATTAAATAGGTAAAACTGGCATATTTGACATGATTTTTATCATAAATACATCAAAATGTCATATTACAAAAGTATTTAGTCACTTAATTCAGTACTGGCAGCTTTGAGCGTGGTTTTGACAACTGGGTTTAGACAGGAAGTGCCTCTTAGTTTCTGTCTTCAGAGTTCTGCAGAGTTGTTCTACAGGCTGTAATTGTGGTCCTTGGCTAGGTTGCTCAAAGACAGTAAGACAGTTGTCCTGAAGTCACTCCAGTATTGTCTTGGCTACGTGCCTCAGCTCATTGTGGTACTAAAAGCTGAACCATTGCCCCAGTCCTAGGTCCAGGTTCTCTCTGTGCTGCACTGAACCTTTAATGAGTCCCTCTGTCTCCTGCTGCTGTTGAGCAGTGGCTTTGTTCA